TACAGGTAGCTGAACCTTCCCCCACCGCCCCTCCCAGCCTGTGTCTAAATGTACAGGGACAATCCCTCCTTTCCCGGAGCTGGGGCAGGGACCCGCTGGTATGTAGAATGGCTGTAGAACGAAAGGAGCAGGTCGGGGCAGGGGAAAGCCGGGGAGAGGTGGTGAGGAAGAACTGGCAGGGTGTGGATGGCACCACTTCCCAAAGAAGATCCAAGTCAAGATCTAGGAAAATCGAAGGAAAGGAGCTGTTTCCACCTTGGAAATTATTTGGGGAGCAAGGAGAAATAGAAGTTTCCTCTAGTAGGAAAGCAGAAGAAAGAAGTCCAAGGCAAGAAACACTGGCCTGGCTAATGATCCTGTGAACTCCCTCGAACTTGGGTTTTACACAGCGCAAATGCCTGTTGGGGAACCCCGACCCGAGACTACCAAAGCTTGGTGATACCTTCAAGTATCGGCCCAGTGTTCTGCGGTTGAGGACCAAGCTGTCAATATCATTCTTTCCCCCTGTCACTTCTGCGGATCCTGGAAGGCTCGGTCTCTACCGCCAAAACAGAGAATTGAGACTTTTATCTAGATATTGCAGGACTCATAAACATCTTCCAATGCTGTTTACCGACATCATTAGGGAATTTGCCTCAATTATCTGCCTGCTTTGGCCATCGAGACAAAAAAAAATGCATAAATACCTTGTAAACCTTCTTAGAGTTTTCTTTACCATGCTTCCCCTTCCAACCTCAATGTAATCAGTACCCTTAGAGACTCGGAGTCCTGAAATCCACACCATTCTCAACCTGAGCTCTGGCTGACGCCAAACCCGCACAGAGTGAAAGCCTGGCTGGGAGATGTACTCGAGCCTTTCCCTACCCCCGGCCTCGCCCTCATCTTCGTCTTAGTTCTCCACTTCCCTGCGTCCTCTTCTTCGACTCTGGGATCTATAGCCTTGTATTGGAGACGAACTCAGCTAAATTTCTGCTCCCCCCCCCAAAAAAAAAGCCAAGCTGTGGCTTCAGTCACTGAAGCAGGTCCCTTAGTCTCCCGCAAAGGGCAGTGGAAAACCTCGAAGTGGGTCCCAGCGAGCTAGCTATCTGCTCACTCACAGCCCCCGCCCTCTACCTCCTAACACCGGGTTCACTCCTTAAAGCTATTTTAATGCCTGACCCTGTCAGCAAACTTACATAAACCCCAGGCTTTAGGCATCTTCACCTGTCCAGGCCCTCAGATCTTGCTTGGAACCCACACCTGCACACCTCAAAATCTGACCTAGTTCAAGTGCCCAACCTCCGGGTCGAGGTTGATCTTATTTTCCAACCCTTGCTCCAATCCCTTGAAACGGGCCTCTCGATGTCCTGAAGGACCTTCTCCCTGCCCCCAACTTTTGTGGATGGACGTGGAGTTCCGAGGCTGGAGGAGACTGGACAATGTTAACTTGAGGGGGGAGGTTCGAAGAAAGACTGGTCGCGTCCGGATGCGACGGGACGGGACTAGATGGGACGGGCCAAGCCAGCCTGCTTACTGCACGACAGCCAAGAAAGTAGCCGAAATAAGTGTCACCACCCAAACGGGGCTCCATTGGCCGTAGGAACTGATCTGGAGAGAGTCAGAAAGTGGGAGGAGGTGCGGGATTATCCTCTGCTCCCTTCCTGACTCCTAAATTTCCCCGACAATCAGTTTTAGAGTTAGCAGACTCCATTTAGAGCAGTATCCTAAAGCCCAGAATGGAAATGGTGAATCTGCCACAACTGGGATGTATTGGATAATACGTGCCCTGGAATAATGTACCTTGGTACATCGGTATTGGATAATACGGCATCTGGGAAATGTACCCTGGTCTCCCGGGTAGGAACAACTACTCTTTGGGTGAGGAATAACAAAATATTAATATATTCCCACTTAGAACTCCATCACAAAATATAATAACACCTCAGTATTTCAAGGGTCTGCGGTTTCATCGATGTGGAGTATTCCCTTCACCAAAGCAGTTCACAGTCCTTCTACCATTTAAAAAATGGTTCTCAGAAGTCTCTGAGACTAAAAATTCCTCTCTTTGCAACCCACTTAGGGACAAGTCTTTCCAAACTTAGCTAGCCCGGTCCTTAGACAACAGACTTAACAAGCTTTCATTTAGTCACACTAAAAACTCTCTGATGACTGGGTAGAACCTGCTAGAGTCCGTGCTTCCCTTTGAGAATCCAGGGTCCCCTTCTTGCCTTGATGAGAATTCAAATTAGAACTTTCCTAGAGGAAGACCTAAGGAGATACAGGTTGTAATCTATAATTATTTATTTACCTATGATAGTCTTGTATTTCACATATGTGTACATTACATATTTTTCAGATAAGCTCATTATAATCATACATGTAGGAGATATGTGATTTTATATATATACATAAAGATACATAGATATATAGATAAAATCATATATGTGTGTATCCAAATTGTTGAAATCACAAACACATTTGCAGAGGGCAGTCTGAGTTGGGAGCTAGCCGTGGAGTTAGGATAACTTGGGTCAGTCTCTGAAACATCCTGGCTGTGTGGCATTGAGCAAGTCACTTAAGTGTAAATAGTGATGATGATTTTGATGCTGCTGCTGAAGATAGATTTGTATATTTATATATACACACATCCATTTATACAGGTATACACATATACAACTACATGTTGTGCCTTATTGGGATGAGATAGAAATACACACACACACACACACACACACACACACACACACACATCTAGCAATGCTTGATGTAGAGAGACAACTTGGTGTAGAATAACCAAAACAAGTAAAATAATGGATTTGGAGTTGTAGCCTCTCACTTCCTCCTCCTATGTGTGACTGTGGTCAAGTCATTTCAATTCTGAGTCTCCTTTTTTTAGTTTGTAAAACTGTAACAGGCTTTTTGTAGGGAAGATTGTGTAAGCTATTTTTTTTAAATTAAAGACAGAACATCTGGTATATTACTGAAACAAGAGTGATGGGGTAGTTATAGTAGAATATCCATCAGCTCTATAAAATAATATATCCCTTAGGATAAAAGATAATAAAATATGTTTATATGAGTACACATGTATGTGTATATATATTATGCCTTATATGTACCACACTTTATAGAGCAGGAGAGCGGAATGTATTACAAATCATGCTAGCTCCCAGAACAACAACAACAACAACAAATTATATCCTTATGCGTAACACTTTACAACACGGAATAGCATTATGCTCCACACTTTATGTCTACTACAGGACACCAGTGCATTGTGTTATGCCATGCAAATGCTTCTGTGCCCGAGAGATATGACCCCATCATTTGATCTGTAAACCAGTTGGTTTCTGGGGTGTCCCAGCTCCAGGTGGTTGCCAGGGCAGGGCTGCGAGCTTTACCAAGTTGGACTTTCTCCTCCACCTCCTGCGCAATTACAGAAGCCATGTTGCCCCCTTATGTTTTAGGACCAATTGGAGCGAAATTCTCCGTACCCCAAATGAAGCTTTGGCAGTTGAGCTAGGGGAGCTTTTGAGTTAATTTGAAAAAGGCCTTGTCAGGGACAATAGTGGAGGTGGGGAGCCCAGAGCTGTAGGTATTGGTCGGGGGTCGGATCGACATAAAGGCATTAACTCACAATACAAAGACAGCTGAACTCGGAGTTGGAAGAAACCCTTTCGATTCCTGGCTTCTACACTCACTAACTTAGCAACCTTGTACAAGACAGTTAGCTACGGCTGTTTTACTGTTTGTAAAATGAGGTGGGGGATAAGGGGGAGTAATACTTGGATTAACTACCACACAGGTAGTTCTTCACAGTTGTGAAGAAAGTGCTTTGTAAACCTTCAAGTATTGCTGTTAGTATTAAGCCTGTGTCAGCTGCAGGAGCCCGAGTGCTGGGTTCCTGCAATAGAGAAGGCTGCTTTGGGTTTCTGGACCCCCAGTAGCTCATGGATGACGTGGAGACGCAACCATTAGACCTGACATTTGGTTCCTTTCGTTGACTTTAAAATGTCTTCTCTAGTCCTGACGCGGCTGCTGGACGGCGCTAGGGGTAGGGAATCCAACCGCTGGAGAGAGACTTCAGGAAACTGGCCAGGCCCTTCTCCAACAGCCCTGAAGAGCAGCCTGGACTTACGGGATGGCTCTTCGTTGAGCATGAGACCCAGAGCACGAAACTTTTGCCTAGGGGCTGAGGGCCCTATCGGTGTTCCTCTTCAAAGCAGAGACGCGAACACACAGCATCTCTTCTGGTCCCTCCAGAAACTCACCTCCAATATCCACTCCCACCTACCACCCCAAGGCTTTTGCTGGGGACCAGATTCGCGAGTTTCTCCACTTGTTTTATAGTTTAAAAAATCCCACTCCAGTGTAGACAAGAACACATAAGCACATTCTGTCTTGGGGCCCATAATTCCGACTTCCTTGCGCCAGGTGTCCTCAAGCTTTCGCGTGTGTGCGTAATGTTTGTTGTGGGGAAGAAATATCGAATTTGGACTCACCCCCAGCTTTCAGCCGCCCCTCCAGGCTTCGGCTGGCTTCCGGGTCAGACAGGCAGAGGGGTTCGAGATCCCGCTTTGGCTTTCAAAGCCACTGCTTAGCCCACTGGGTGGGCTGCGTGCGGGGCTTGGAGACGGACAAGACCCAGGGGGACACAACTCTGGTTTGAATTTAGAATAAATAATCAACCAATTCATCTCCTAGTTAGTTGCCTTCTATTCCAACATTGGGAGACTGGGCCACAGTACCCGGTCCTGCAAAATGACTGTTCAGGCCCCTGCCAAAGGAGCCTGGGATTTCTCCTACTTCGCTCCAGTCTGAAGCCAAATTCCCAGAGAAAGCCGTGCCGGGTCACGTGGTCCCTTGGGCTAGAGCCCCGGCGCTGACCCGGGCTGGGGGCTCAGAGCTGCCTGGAGCCCCCCAGGAGGGCGCCGGGAGATGGGGCGGGCCGAGTCGGGCGGGGCCCGCGCTGACCTTTGGAGAAGCTTAGCGACAGGGGGTGGGTTCGAGGGGAGGGGAGGGGAGGGGCTGGGGCCGGCCCGGCCCTCGGCGGGATTCCCTGCGGCGCAGCCTCTGGCTCCCAGTTGCTCGTCCGCTTCGGCCGCTGCCCCCTCCCCTCCACGCCACAGTGAGTATGATGTCTCTGCCCACCTTTTATCTGCCCGCCCGACCATATCTGGTACACAGGCCGCCCTGCACCCATGTGGATGCGGGCTCCCCGTGGAAGCAACTCTCCCTGAGGCCCCCTCCCACCCCAGCCCGGTTCCAGACTCCCTCTCCCAGCCCGAGCTCTGGGCCATTCAGGCCGCTGCAGGGGTCTCTGAACCGCAGCTGGCCCCTGGTTTATTTCAAGGCAGGACCTTGTCATCCCGTTAGGCCTTGATGGTGCCAACCTAGGCACTTCCCGCGAGCCTACACTTAGCCCCCGGGGGTCCTGCTGCTCCTTGGGCGCTCCAAGGAGTATCAGCGACTCCCCTCACCTCCCGAGTCTTCAAATGCTGTCCTGCGAGAAGCTGAGGTGAACCCAAAGACTACCCTCCCCCTCGCCGTTTTCTCTTTCCCCTCCCTTCTCTCCCAGGGAGTCCAGCTCCCTGGAGACACTCGCCTCTGCCGGTTCTTCCTTTCTTCTCCATCGGGCCCCAGTCCTAGAAACTTAGCTTCCCGGAGTCGACTCAGTGCAGAGGGTTTCTAAGATTAGTGATGGTTTGGTGGTTCAGTTTTTCACAAATCTAGTCCACTTCGGGGTCCCTAACCTCGGAAGATCTTAGCTCAACTTTTCTTCTCTGGAGGGAACCGGATCCCTGCAACCTGGGCGGGGGTAGATGCGTGGAGGTGGAATAGTTAGCTAAAGTTGATTCTCTCTCTCGTCTTTGCTTCTTGGTCCCCCTCCGGAAAAGAAAAAAAAAGTGCTGAAAAAAGAAATCATCTTTGGTTTAAGACATTTGCCGGGTTTTCATTAGAAGAGAGTCAGAAAACGTAGTAGCCGGGTTATAATAATCAACCGATCAGTGACCCTTGCTTTTCTCGGAGAATAGAGTTCCTAGGTAATAGACAGTGGGGTAAGAGATGAAGAAGGAGAATTGAATAGCTATGTAGAGAGCTGTCTTAATCAGCCAGGCCTTTCAGGCACCCAGTCTCCGATCCTATTTCACGTTTCGAGGGATCCGGGTATATTGCCTCTAGCCTCAGCCGAGCGCTCTGGAAAGTGTGGAGGGGATGATATATCCAACCAGCCGAGCTAAATAAGAAGTAAATCTTCCACTGGTGTTTCAGATCTGGTTGGGGCTTCTCCGGGATAAAGCAGGATGGATCTGCCAGAGGTTGAGGAAGGAAACAGGGAGACGACTCAAACACAGAGGGCAGGTGTAATCCTGAAAGCTGGTGGAGCATTTTGGGGAGGAGGGTGATTTGGGAGTGCAGAGAAAAGTTCTGGGTCCATAAACAAAAGAGACCAAGCTGATGGTCTTGTTTCTCTTTTTCATCTCCCTCCAGGTAACATCCTTTCCTGGCAACATCTGGATACCAGTCCCCTAAGTCGACCCAGATAGCCAGCCAGATAAGGGAGAGAAAAGCACCCAAGTCAGACATTGGGGGAAAATATAACCGAATCCTAACGCTTTGTTCCTTTGGTCTCGGCACCTGGGTCCTGCTGTGCCCCTCCCGCTGAGCTTCCAGTTTTAATCACACCTCCAGCCGACCCTTTCTGGGCCAGGAACTACGAGGCCTACTTAGAGATGTACCAAAGTTTGGCCCTCGCTTCAAATCCTGGCCAGGCGCCCTATGCCCACGACTCCAGTAGCTTCCTACACTCGTCAGCGGCCAGTTCCCCTGTATATGTGCCCACGACGAGGGTGCCTTCCATGCTACCCACGATGCCCTACCTGGCAGGTTGTGAGGCTGCACACCAGAGCCATCCGCTGGGCAGTCACCCGAGTTGGGCCCAGGCAAGCAGTGAGGCCTCAGCTTTTAACCCCGGCAGCCCCCACCCTCCTTCTGGTTTCTCCTACTCTCACAGCCCTCCGGGGGGCAGCGGCGGAGGACGGGATGGAACCTACCAGGCCCCCCTGCTCCTGGGCAGTGGCACCAGGGAGCAATACGCCAACCCGTTGGTGCGCTCAGTCAGTGGATCCTATTCAAACGCCTACCCAGCCTATGTAAGTCCGGACATGGCCCCTTCCTGGACCGCAGGCCACTTCGAAAGCAGCGTTCTACACAGCCTACAGAGCCGCCAAGCTGGCCTTCCGGGCCGGAGGTCCACCTTTGGTGAGTTCTTTTCTCCTTTAGCCAGCCCCTCACCATTTTTTCCTGTGCCTTGACTCCGTACTCCTAGTCGTTCTATCTGTAAGTTCCCCACCACATCTCCGAGACCCAACCAGAATTCATCCCTGTTGCTCCTGGGGTGGAGTGGGGACGAGGGGAAGAGCAGAATGGGAGGGTGGGGAGTAGTTGAGAGGGTAGAAGGGGAAAACTTGCTTCTCTTCTTTATCCTTATTTTGGAACAAATCATATTTTTATTTTTCTGAAGTGGCAAGTCCTGGTCACCTGCTCCCCTTTTCTGAAATATCTTACTGCCTGAGGTCAGGTTCAGAAGACCAAAATTAGTCTAGAGGAGTTCCCATTTCCACCCTTCACCCCCTAGTCTAGGGGGTTAGGGGATTAGGTCCAGTGTCTTTGAGATATGAGGCTTCTCTTGAATCTTTGCCCTTCAGAAGAGAAGGGGGATTAGGATAAGGATCATTTCTTTCAGGGACAGCACTTTACCCTTTCTACCCTACTCTAATCCCAAAAATCTCACAGGTTTCTGAAAGGGTGGCACATATTCTCAACTGTTAGCCTTGCCTATACAAAGGAAATGTAAAGATGTTAAATTGAGAGATTCATTATTTGGTTATTTAGACAAATTGAAACACTCTTACCCCAAATTTAAAAAAAAAACTACTGCAAAAAATAGCAAAAACTTTCCCCTAAAAACTCCCTTTACATCAATAAGAGGAATTTGGGGATGAATTGTCTTCATAATTATTCTGAACACCTTTAATAGCCATGCCAGGCATAACCTACAGGCCACCCCACACCCTCTCTGGAGTCTGAGAATTGGGAAAGGGATTTTTAGCCTAGGTGGAGCTCTGGTCTAGCTCAGTGGAGGAAAATGCCTTTGAAGCAGTCTGTAAGCTCCAAGCTTTCCATATGAGCCCTTCAGCCAAAGTCAAACTCTCCAGGATCTTTTTCTTTGCCTTCATTTGGGCTCAGTGACTCCTATCCACTGAGCTGAAGACCCAGTGTTTAAGCCAGAGGAGCATATTTACAGGGCTTTAACATTTAAGTAATTTATTGAGGTAAATTAGTTTATATCTGAACAGACTTTTGGTCTCCTAATTCAGCTTCTTCCAAACAATTTCCAAGTTGCCTTGTTCTCCCCTTTCCACGGAGATAGCGAAACTCAGTTAGGCAGTGGTCAATAAAAGCCATTTGGGTTGAGGGTCATTCTAGCCCATTCTTTAAGCCACCACCTCCCCTTTGCGCGCGAGCACACACACACACACACACACACACACACACACACACACACACACACATTCCCATGTCACCCTTTTGCTAGGTAGCCCTTTCCAGGACTAAGTTGCTTCTTCTTTCACTATAGTGCTCAAGACCCTTTCTGCAATTGCCAAAGTTCCTCAGTTGTCCTCTCTTCTCTGTTTCTTTTCCTCCTCTTTCTCTTCTCTTTCTCTCCTTTTTAGTCCTCTCCCTCTCCCTGTTCTCTCTTCCTCTATCTTTTTCACATCCTTTCTTTTCTCTCCCTTTCTTTTTTCTTCTTCATACTTAGTACCTAGTCTCCTTCTCTCCCTCTCTTCCTTCATTCTTGCATCTAGCTCTCCTTTCCCTTTCCCTTCCTCTATTTACAACTGTCCTGTCAGTCCTCTCCCACCTCTCCTTTTTCTCCACCCTTCCCCTCCTCCATTCTGTCTCTTCCAGCCCTTTCCTATATGAAATTCCACCCCCTCCAAACTTTATGTTTTGTTTTGAAAAGCACTTCAAGCCCTCAGCAAAGTTATCTCCTAGCCCGCCACCCTCCCGTCCCCACCCCCCATCAACTCCAAGCCAGGCTCCCAGGACCTTATCTCTACCGAGAACAAAGTCACCCAGAGAAGAGGGTGTGAGGCCTCCGCCTTCTCTACCCCTCCTCCCCCACAATTGCTTGGCTCTCAACCTAACTTGGGAAAATATTCTGTCCCCTCTCTCTCCCCCCATTCCCCCCGCCCCATAGACCCAATCTACACATCTCCATTCAATGGATAATTTAGATACACCCAATCACTTCCAAGACTCAAAGTAACATCCAAATAGACAACGATTACCTTAAAGCCAACATACCTTTCCATTTCCCTTCTGGTTTGTGCTGTGTGGGCTACTCTGAAAATTCACCTTGGGGTAGAAGGAAAGGAGAATTTTGGAGTGAGGGAGCATGATAGTGGAGCAATTTGTGGCTTAAGATCCAGAAGCTGAAAAGCTGAGCTTTTCTTTGCCTCACACCCACTAACCAGCACTGCGTCCCTAGTGTAGCTTGGAGTTCCATAATGGCTCACCTATTTGTTTAGTTACTTGCCACCACAGATTCCCAGTGCCTCTTTTCTCCTCAAGAATGAATTGCCCAAGAACTGAAAAGACTCTCAGTCAGCTACAGGGGAAAGGGAGCAATTGGTCTGAGAAATTCCAAATCTGGTTTTTCTGGTGGAATATCAGTCAGGAACTAGCCTACCTCTAGACTCCCTCCTTGCCCTTTGGATGCCCGCTACTTTCTTTATGCATTCATAAGGTCTACAACTGAAATAGATCTTAGCATATAAAATGTCAAGTGCTAGAATGGGCTTAAGAACATAGAACGGCAGAATTGGAAGGGACCTTAGAACATTTATTGCTAGAGCTGGAAAAAAAGGAACTTAAAAAAGGGACCTAAAGATACCTTGGTCAAAACCCTTCGTTGTACATGTGGAGAAATGGAGACGAAGAGGCAGAGGAAGGGGAGTGACTTGCTCAATCTCACATATGTAGTAAGTAAGTAACCCAAATGACCAGAATTGAAGACTATAGCATACTGCGCTGCTGAATAATTAGGTCATCAGCGAATTTTAGTTTCTTGGGGTTTATCCATCACCTTCCTTGGGTGATGTTTACTGGAGGAATTGGGGAGATGCTTCGGAGCTAGATAACACAAGGAAAGCTGAGAGTTTCGATTTTTCAAAAGGAAGTAATCCAGCTCCAAGAATTTATGCATGTGGCCTCTAGCTGCTACTAACAAGAAGACAAAATAGTGCAGTCTAACCCCCTAGCCTCGTCCCTCTCAGCTCTGCCCCGATACTAGGTCTAGGGTCTCTGGTCCCGGGTCCAGTCCCGCCTCCTCTCCCCCCCCTCCACCCCCATCCTGGCGCGGCTCCTCTGTCGGTCAGTGGCAGCCCGGCCCGAGGTGTGATTGATCCTGCGTCACCTCCCCCTTGCTCACCCCCCCCCCCAACAGCCCCAGCGCCCGCGGCCCCCACACACATTCCATCCGTCTTGGCCCAGCCTGCGCGTCGCCACCAGTCAAAGCCCCCAAAGGTTTGATGGAAATCAGGGAAGCCCCCAAGTCGGCCCCCAGCCCCTCCCACACCCACCCACTCATCCACCCCCGCCTTTAATCGCCTTACAATAACATCTCTTCTGAGCCCTGTTTAGACAACCCGGCCAGTGGGCCAGTTTGTCCGCCGTGCCGGTGGGACGCGCGGAGGCCAAGGGCTGGGCTTAGACTCCCAGGGCTCCGGCCTTGGGAGAAAAGGAGGCAAAAACCGCAACATTAACACCCCAAGCGAGGGGTGGGGGGAAGAAAGAAGGAGAGGAAGACAGGAGGGAGATGATGCGTGGGCGTGAGGGATAAAATCAAACTTCTTAGCTCGAGGCCCAGGAAGGTTAAGTAGAAACGAAAACAGGGAGACCTGGCTAGGCTTTGGTTAGCTGATCGGTGCTAATTTGCCCTCCCCACCCCCAGTTCCCTAGCCCCCATGGGGTTCCCCCTCCCACCTCTGTGGTAGGGGTCTTCCCGGGAGCTTTCTGGATTTCCTAAGACCTCGACCTAGAGAGAGGGGCAAGGATGCTTAGCAATGTGAACTAGGGGAGAAAAGACTAGCCTAGTAAAACGCAGTGAAAGATATCGGTCCCAGTGGTTCTTTGCTGCTGTAGACATTCCTTCTTTAAGAGACTTTGAGACAAAAGAAAGCGGATAGGGGAGATACTTGTCAAGACAACCCAGAACATGGGTTTCTGGGAGTTCTGCTTTCGAATTCCCATTCTGATACTCACTGCCAGACCCTGGATAACTAAAATGTAGTGGTAAAACCTTGGACAGGTCACTTGTACTTCTTGATGTCTCAACTTTCCGGGATTGTAAAATGGGGTCCTTGGACTACATGATCACTCAGTTCCTTCCAGCTCTGAATTCTGTATTTTGGAAAGTTGGTTTGGGATTCCACCATGAAAAAGGTGGACATGATCGCACTGAATTCTATGTTACACTTCCCTGTTCCTTGTATTTAAACGTGAAGTCACAAACCTGAAGCCAAGGCTTATAAAAGTCGAAGCTTCGGGCCCTTAGGATTCGGTTTTGGTGCGGTTGTTGTTATTAACATACAACACATTCAATTTTTCCTTCTTCCTTTCCAATGAGAAACGCCAAAACCTATCATCTCCTATACTTTTCCCTACCTACACCCCCCTTCCTAAAAAAAAAAATAACATTCAAAAGCCTGGCAATTAGGTCAGTCTTCTGTCCTTGGGCATTGAGGACTTAGATACAGGGAGGCATTAAGGGGGAGGAAAGAGCATTGGATTCTTAAGTCGGAAGATGGATTTGATATTGAATCCTGGTTCTGCATTAGCTGAGTAATCTTAGCTGAGTCACTTTACCCCTCTGTCCTCAGTTTCACCATCTGCAAAGTCATGAGTCTGGAGTGGATGGTCTCAGAAGTCTTTTCTAGCCCTCAATACTTTGAAATGGAGCGAAGGACCTTCCCGGCTCTGCACATGCATCGTTCCCCCTTCTCAGCAGACAGATCCTGCAACCCTTTCGTCTTCTCTCAGTTTCAGAATTCTTGGAAGAGTTCCCGGGTGAGGGCCGCGAGTGCGTTAATTGTGGGGCTATGTCCACACCGCTGTGGAGGCGAGACGGCACAGGCCACTACCTCTGCAACGCCTGTGGCCTCTACCACAAAATGAATGGCATCAACCGGCCGCTCATCAAGCCCCAGAAGAGGCTGGTAAGTCAGAGCTTGGTAAGGCGGACACGTCGGAGTGTCGCGGCCAGACACTGCTCTTTCTGTCTCGGAGAGAGACCAGGTCTCTATTCTGGGGCTAGGAATTGAGGGGATTAAACGAGTGAGGCTAACAAAAGCAGCATTTTTCTAAGTCCTTGAAGTACCTGGGAAATGAACTCCGGGTTCTGTTCAGACGTGGAGACCAGAACGCTGAAGTGGAAGATGTCTGGAGGGAGAGGAGTGAAGGAGCCGCAGGAAGGTTGGGGGGAGGAGAGTACAGGAGACGTGCTGCATCTGCAAAGCAAGGCCAGCTAGGTGAGATTTCTGTCCAACCCCACAGACCCAGAAGCAAAATTGGTGAGCTAGGGCTGACTTCTTGGAATGGGAGAAGTGGACTGTGCAGTTTGTGTTAGAGTATCTCTTCCCCTGCTGCCCACCACCACCTTGGTAAAACACCTGGGCAAGAGGACTAAGTTCAAGTGAATAATAGAGCTGCATGGGACCTAAGAGGCCATGTAGTAGTCGAACTCCCTCATTTTACAGATGAGGAAACTGAGGCCTAAGGATGTTAAGTAACTTGCTCAAAGTCACACAGAAAAAGCATCAGAAGTGGGGTTTGAACGCAGGTCCTCTGACTCCCCTTTCTGCTGCCCAAAGCTTGGTTTCTGTTCAGGCAGAAGGGAGTGCCTGCCCATTACAGAGCTCTGGAATAAAACGGGAACTTTTGCTTGACTCTTTCCCACCCAATTTAGGGTAAATGGGCGTGAGATCTAACCTGTCAGTGCCTCCTTCCTTGCCTCTCCTCTCTTCCCTGCGGCTTTCATACTAAGCCTAATTTGACGACTTGCACTTTCTAATTAACCAGTTCAGGATAGCCGAACCAGCGGGACTGTTTTCTTTCTGGTAGTGTAGTCCAGGGCTTTTAGAGCGCCTCCGAGCTTGAGACAGGATGCTTACAGCTGCCAGCGCCTTCGAGCTTTCCCCAGCCGCTGGGGAAGTCACAGCTTTTAGAGAATTTCTCGGTTTGGCTGATTAAGAATTCACCCACTTTCCCCTTTGGAAGGAAACAATTACGAATAAACTATTTTTAAAAGACGTTTTCCTACCCGTATGAAGTTGATCTTTCTGGATTTTGGCTGCGGACCATAAGAATAGGTCCTGTTAGGAAATACATTCAAACAAAATTAATAAAGCTCCGAGAGGTGGCTCCCAGCTGGGGTTGTGACGTGGTGAGGGGTTCTAAACACTCCAGTATAGGATTCCTCTGAAAGCAAATTCTCTGTGATCACTGAGCAAAGAGGTTGAGCAACCTGGGGCTGTCCATACCGGGAAAAAGTGTAGACTCCGGAAATACTGTATCCCCAGAGTTAGTTAGAAGTCATATCTGATGTTCTATTTAAGATATTAACATCCTTCTCTGCAACTTTCCCTCTTGATTTCAAAAAGAAGCTAGTTAGTGTGGTGCAAAAACAAATTAAAAAAATTTAAATTGGGAGTTCTTGACACATTCTGACAAGTTTTACACTCTCTGAGTGTAGCAACTAAGGTTCCAAGGAGCACTTCTCAGTTTGATTCACACCTGCCAAAATATTCTTCCCCAGAAAGAGGTAGAATATTCACAGAAACAGAACTATGATGTTTCAGCCAAACTAAGAAATTCTCCAATTCCTCCTGCAGAATTTAAGCTACTGGAAGGCTCAGGGAAAAAAAAAGCATTAAGTGAAGTACCTTTCTAAATTCTTTAGCAATTAGCCATTTTAATGGTATTGGATTTCTGCTTTTTTTTCTAATCATTTAATCTTTTTTCTAGAGTATATGCCCTTAAAACAGAAGCCCCAGAGCAAGTGGCTGAATTTTCTTTTGTTAATTTGGAATGGATTATTTATGTTGGTTTCTATCTGAGCTTTCCATTTGTTTTGAAATGTTCAGCCCTTCATGAGAGTGGAGAGCTTAGGAGATCTGGGGAGAGAAAACAGGAATTGTCTTAAACTTCTGGTTGGTTGACATTGATCAGAGACCACTGGCTTCAGAGGGATGAATAAGGAAGCTGCTTGACTTTTTGAGTTTTCCACAATCCAAGATGTGGTTACCTTTGGAATTGGGCTGGGCTGAGTCTAAAGTAGTTTTTCTTGTGTAGCACTTGGGACTAAATCTTTTTTTTATGGCAGTTTGTGAGCTGGCTATTTGGTTTGGGAGTAGGTGTATATGTACTTCATCTTTAGAATACATTTCCACAGTTCAATCAGGTTTGTGTTCACTTTGCTTTACAGGGTGCTGAGTCCAAGCCCTCAGTTAAGACCAAATAAACAGGTTTAATGCTTGCTCCCATATACCAAGAGTTGAATACATTTATATTTACATATTTTACATAATAACAGTAAATATGGAGGGGGGAAATATAAGAATTAATATTCAATTGAAAAATATTTATCTTGGTCCTTGTCACTATCGTGAGGATCAATTGAGAAAATATACGTAAAGTACCTTGTAAACCTTCTAAATGACTTCCTAAAGTGCATATCTGACCATATCTCTCTCTCTGTCTCTCTGTTTCTGTCATACACACACACACACACACACACACACACACACACACACACACACACATCAGTGGGGTATCCCTATCAAAAACAAAACTCTCTTTTTGGAATTTAAAGACCTTCTTAACTTGGTCCCCTCCTATCTTTCCAGTTTTCTTACACCTTATACCTTTTTGATGTCTTAATGTACTAATATAGTGTCCCCAAAGTCTTAATGCATTAACAGTTTAATATTAAACATTAAAACTTGAGCTTTAAGAACTTAAAGCTGCACTGAGACTTTTGGGACATTCTATAGCAAAATATTATTAAACCAAATTTGGTTGATAAAAAATGTTTTGAATTATCATCTATTCACCAGCTGATTTTGTTTGAATATAATTCAATGGTAAAAACCATTAGTTCCAAGCCTTTTCATGTTTTGTTATTTTTTTGCATCTTTCATTTTGCTTTAGTAATAATAACTGACATTTATACAGGGTGTCCTAAAAATCTTAGTTCTGTTTTCAGCTTTAATAGCTTAAAACTGAACTAAGAGAAGAGAATAAGCATTTGCCAAGTGCTATTCTGTGCCAGGCATTGTGCTATAAGATCTTTACAAATATTAGTTCATTTTATTCTTACAACAATCCTGGGAAATGGGTGTTATTATTATCCCCACTTTACAGTTAAGGAACCGAGGCACAGAGAGGTTAAGTGACTTGGCCAGAGTCATACATACAGCTAGGGAGTGTCTAAAGCTGGATTTGAACTCATCTTCCAGATTCTGGGTCCAGCACTCCATTCACTGTGACACTTAATTGTCTCAAGACTTTAGGGATACTCTCCCTATATAGACCTTTAAAGTTTTTTTTGAAGCATGTTGCAGTCATCTTATCGTCAAGTCTCACAAAACTCTATGAAGAGGGTACTAAAGGTGTTACTATTTCCACTTTTCAGATTTGAGGAAACTGAGGCTCAGAGAGGTTAAATGACTTACCCATAATCACTAAGCTAGTAATTCTCTGATGAAGTTTTATTGAACACTATGGCTGTAATAGTATCAAGTCTGAAATTAAGGCTGTTGAGCAACTCGCCTAAGGGGTGTTTTCACTCTTTAACACCCTGAAGAAAAATAAGTAAGCCCAATGTTCTGATTCAAGAGTAAGATGAGAAGATTTAGGATAGGACCAGAAATAAGGAAGCTCTACTTGGGGCTCAGCACAGTTAAGTTTAGGTACATCATAAGTGCTCTCAGATGAAACATTCAGGTAGTTCTATACAGGGTTTCCAAAGTAACCATTCAACTGAATCTGGCAGCCCTTTTGGCCCTCTGATATTTGAAAACTGAGGTCAGTGTTTGTTCTGGAAATCTATAGACTTTCCCATTAAAATAATTTCATGGAATGAGGGAAACTGACTGGGGGTTTGGGGATGGCTTGATGTAGAGAATAGCTAGCTAAACTTAGAGTCAAGAAGACCTAGGCTTTCTTCCTCTAACAATAGCAAGGCAAGTTTCTTAACTTCTATAAGCTTTATTTTCCTCATCTCATGGGGATACCAATATCTGTAGTACTACCTCAATGGAGATAATTTAGAGAAAGGGCTTTGTAATATGTGTGTATGTGTATGTGTTATACACGTACATACATATATATCCACACAATATATGTGTGTGTGTAAATATATACATATATGTATATATACACATATATGTGTATATATGTATATATATATACACATATATGTGTATATAGATAGATATTTAGGTATCAGTTATTACTTATCTAAATCTACTAAAATCCCTCAGTGAAGTTTTTCCATTAGTGGAGGGGAAGGGTCATTGTCTTGCAAAAAAAAGTAGAGATCTAGTCATGTCATTATAAGATATCAGAGTTGGGAGAGGTCAAGTATTCTAACCTCATTTTATGGACAAAGCTGAGGTTCAGAGAGGGTAATTGACATACCCACATCATACAGTAAGTCTCACACACACACACACACACACACACACACACACACACACACACACACAGAGGTACCATGACTGCCAGTGAATCTTCTGTAGTACCACTTTCGGAGGAAGGAGGGGAAGGTGGGAACCCTGCTCCTAGGGGCTCACCATATTTGTGCCACAGTTACTGTGACAACTCAATCAACTTAAGCCCTATATGATTGACTTTAGCTCAGAACTCTTGAATTCAGGTGATCCATTAGCCTCAAGGTTCCCCAGTAGCAGATACTATAGGCATGTGCCACCATGATGTACACATTCCTTTTAGAAGAGTGGGTATGACTGATGGGACCATCTGTTATCTTGTACACTAAATGAAAATTTTCACTTGATAACCTACTTTTGAAGATCTTAAACTAGATGCAGAGATTCTCCCTGGCATTTCTGATCAGCCAAAAAAAACCCCCCCATGGTCATTATTTTAAAATGTGGAGAAAAGCTTTGGAATTATTTAGAAGCAAATAGGGTGG